ATACTCACCCCATTATTTTAACAATATTTGCAAATTTCAGAGGCGATCGTGATTGATAGGTAGTGTGGCAACAATTTAATGAATTCAGTTATTTATTATTGAAAATTTCGTATTTGAACGCTATTAATGTACTTTGTTATTTCAGTATTTCAAAAATTCGAGATTTGAAGTTTAATCAATTTTCTTAAGTTATTAAAATGAATTTTGTTGTCGACGAGATTTTTACCGTTGTAAATGCGAAGTTTGAAATTTAGTTATTTTCCGCAAAACTTTTTAGTTAAATCAATTATAGAAGACGATGACGTAGCAATCCGGATTAACGGAACTCGGGACGCTACACATTGTCTCTCAAGGGTTTGTCCAATCCAAGTCTGATTATTCCCATTTCAGCAAAAGAACCAACTATTCATACATTGTGCTTCTTATCTATGTTGATGATATTATCATAGGAGAGAATGATTTGGCATATATCGAACAGTTTAAATTTTAGATGTGAACTAAATTTTAGATACATAATAAATAAGATTGCCATATTCATTGCCAAAACACATACCAAGTCTTGTTTTCTGTTTTCTTTATAACCAAATCCCAAATCGCCATTCCCCTCCCTTTCAGCGATTTCTCACATAAATTAGGCAACAAATTATCAGAAAGAATAGTGTAGTTTTTTCTTGTTGAGAGGATAATGGACCGATGTGCCGATGTGCCTCGGAATATTGCAAAAAAGAAAGACGTATATATTGAATTTTCTGATGCAGAAGAACACAAAAGATGTAGACATACAATGTAGCAAATATCTTAAAAGTTTGCTACTTTCCACCCAGTGCAACAGAATCGTAAGTTGATATAATTGACCACTCATATCCTCCCTAGAGTATTATCAACATGTTAAAATGAAAGTAAAATAGGTATCCTTTTTCCAATCACCATGATAAAAAGATGAAAAATAAGAATTACTAACTAAAATGTTCCAACGTTTTAGCACTATTGACGAAGGTTGCACTTCTATCAAAGCCCTCGTGCACAAGAACTCGAACTGCTTCCAAGCCATTTTGAAACGTGAAATCCAACTGCCAAAAAGGGTGCCATCATCAGAATCTATATCAAAAGTCAATTTCTCTTTTCGGAGGAACATATGCAAGAAAGTCATGTACCTCTACACTTTCGTCTCTTGTAAAAGGACGGAGAACAAAATTAGCAGCTTCCATTTTTCCTGGAGGCCTCCCAATACCTATTCGTAAACGAGGAAAATCACGACTACCTTTTAGGTGAGTTATGATACTCCTCATCCTGCAAATGATTAAAAAGACTGTATAATCAATTCAGGAAACACCACTAAAATTGTAATCATAGAACACAGGAGTTAGCAACCATATGATGCCTGAGCGAGCTCAATTAGATATACAAGTCCAAGAGTAATATCAATCACTTAACCCAGAAATCCATCACAATTTGGGGAAAAGAATTATTTACTTCAATACTCACAGATCGTTGCTTAGATTTGATAATATCATATACTGATTGTTCTCGAGAGTTACCTGGCCAATAAGATTATTGTCAATAAAGGAGTGTCAAGTTTTTTTTTCCCCCAAAACAACCGTTCTAAAGGAAAAGAAATGGAATAGTAGCATTTAGCACTGGGATAAAAATAGTTAATGTTGCTCATCTCCCCTCTTACCATTTCTAAGTATGCTCCAGTAACTCTTTATCTATGCTCACTAAAAACGCTAAGATATAATTCAAAGAGTCTATTTTCCATTATTTCGTGTTTTTCGGCAACTCAGAATGCGTAAAAGAAAATCAGTTCAGTGGCTTGGTATTCACCCATTATGTCCCCCGTGTCCACCTTTCGGCAACAATCGTAACTTTGCAAATGGCAGATCCATGTCATCAAAAATCTGAAAATATGAACTCATCAACTTTAGTTCTTAGAAAGTGACATAATAGCTAATTATGACTATAGATGATTTACCACAAGAATTTGGTTCAGTGGAATCTTATAATATGAAACAATAGCACCAACCTGCCAACAAGAGCAAATAACTCAACCTTTCACCACTTAAACGCAGACTGATATATAAATAAAAAGTATGTCTAATAGTTGAGGAAACTTACAGACTCACCACTTGCGTTCATGAAAGTCTGCGGTTTAGCAAGCATAACAGGAACATTTCCAATCGAGCCTAACAAAATAGAAGAGAATGAGATCGATAAAGAAACTAAAAATCAAACTCCTAGATCACATTTTCCCATCACCAAGGTTTAATGCTCTTTTGCCCTCTTTTGATGTCCAAGAATAATAGTAATGTCTTTCTAAAATAACCTACTTAAAAGTACTTGATACCAGTTCAAATAACACTCATTATCAATAAAATTAATAAGTTAGTTAGCTGATGTTTCTTTTCTCCACTCTCATTGTATAGACTTATCTATGACCTAGTTTTTCAGGAAGGGCAAGCTCGAAGATACTTAAAACCTTAATACTAAGACTTCACTTCTCAGTACTTTCTCTGAGTAATGGTTAACATGTGAAAGTTGAACGGTGTTTACCAGCATCTGGACAGAAGGAAAAGCAGCTCGACCAATCCCTCTACTCTCATTCTCAAGCATCATTTAAAATTCAATCAAACTTGTAACAAGTTTAATTATTTCTTGATGAGTTTTATCCACTACATCTGTACATCACATATAGGAAATATTTTTCTAAATGTGTTCTAAAATGAGCATATACAACCATCATTACTGTGTTTCAAATGCTATGAAATCAGCCAATTGTTGAAAGGACAAGTATCCCTGGATACTGGTTGAAAGCTGGAGATCAAAATAAACTCCAAGCTCCTGGATTGTTTATTATCTTTACTTCTCCAGTATAAGAAAAGCCACTTTTGGGGGACTGAACGTGTTTCTAATGTTTCTTATTGTAAATCAGTCTTTAGTTTCCACATTTTTCGTCTACAAGATACTTTTTCTCTCTTATTCTCCATGGATTCAAGAGGAATACATAGGAGTTTTTAATCTAGATCGTAATTCTGGATATCCCAGAACATCAAGTTTAACATTAACAGAGGACGGGAAATTAACTTTTTGGTTTAGAATGAATGAATTGCTAAATGAAGTCAAACTAAGTGTTGTACAATTCAGTCATATTATCTAATCCCTCAGGTCATTTAAAATGTCTTTACTGCTGCAGAACTTCAGAGATAGCCACAACCAATGTTGAAGACATCAATGAATATGATTCTTTGAGAGAAGGTAATTCCACACCAACAGACTACAAACCGGGGAAAAAATCTAGAAAGATTTTTCATTTTCCAAGGTAATGTCAATTATGTTTTCTTTCAAAGTTACCATCTTTAGCTTTGTCCATTACAGCCTGTTATCTGGAAATTATTTTTAATTTTAATGAGTGATGAATATATGGATATTCATTAAAACATAGAATATTTAAAGCTCTACGTGCAAAATAACTGGCAGGATGATTCTTGCTGGGACAAAAGAAAAAACAACAGTAAAAAAAAAAAAACATTGCATAAGAAAATATAGCACTCTGCATATTATGCTCAAAAACCTAATAAGACATCATAAATTAAATGAAAAATTGAAGACTGGTTGTTTGGACGAGCTTTTAAATAAGTCAAAACTAATTTATAGGTTTGACTTAATTTTAGACATTTTTTCCCAAATCAAAAGTAACTTTTTCTTAATTATAAGTAAAAACTTACTTATTTTGACAGTATAGTGGGTTACTTCAGAGAAGTAACTTATTGATTTCAAAGTCTAACCAACAAAATAATTCAAACGCCTTGTCTAATTAATAATTTACAAATTGTATCCCAACCTAAATTGTAATATACAGAAAAACCAATTCAAATAACTACAATTCTAAATTATTACTAAATAAAAATTCAAATAATAGATTGTCAAATTAATTTAAAATATTAAGATATTAAACATGTACGTCTACAATTACAAAAAATCATTACTATTAGATAATAATACTAGAAACTGAAATTTGTAAAATAATTTAAAATATTATATTATTGAAATATATATTTCGACATTAATTATTATAACAAATTGAACACAAATTAGAATTCGATAAAAAATAAAAGCTGGCAACAAGAATAGGTATTCCTACAAACAATTTATTATCAATGTAACATTCATCTGAAAATTACGCCAATGATTACAAAAATGGGTAAAAACACTACTAGTCACCGAACCTCTAGCAAAGTTTTGCTTTGATCGTCTAACATTTTTGCTTCCATCTTAGCCCCTTGTGTTTCAATTTTTTCCTAATTAAGTCAATCCTTCCACCGCCATTTTTTTTTTTTTTTTAAATTATGCTAACCGAAAAGATGACGTTGTAGACTAAGAAGCCAACTTACCTTTAAAACCTTGAGTTTATAATTTTAGATGTCTTGCATACAATCATGTTTTACAACCTGAAGTTAAATGATCCAAGTAAAATCTCACTTAAAGTTTAGTATCCGAAGTGAAAATATGGCTCCAATATTTATAAATGATAGAAAAAAGGTAAGAAAAAAGAGAGAATAAATTCTCACCCTCTCTCAACCTTTGTCTAATTGCCCCTTCTAACCGCCAATCAACCCTCGCTGTCTCCCTCAAACACTATCAATTCTCTTGGATAAGCTTATTTCGACAATTTCGCTCACACATATTCTAGCGCATGACATACTTTAAACATGTGACGTAATCCATGATACGAGGGCAAATCCGGGCAAGGGTCCATTGATAGTTGAGGAAGGGCCTATGACTAGGTCACGAGCGAAGCGGGTCAAAGAAATAATAGGACTACTTGCTCAAACCACGATGAACGAAACATTGATCATGTCAAGCAAATGGACAAGTTTCATGTCCTAATGAAACGCAGTGAAGCAACTTGATTCAAGCAATGGACATGAAGCTGGAAGGAACAACTATACGACCGTGTAGTTTTTCAGGGCATGCGGTCGCATGCCCCTTTACCGAACTCACAGTGGAGGAGTTCAGAGGGTCTATGCAACCACATAGATTTACACTATGCGGCCACATAGTATATTTACGGTCACGAATTTTTCAAATTTCGCTCAATCTTCTTTTTAATTGAAACTCTATTTTGTGATATCTTTTGTTATTTTTAAAATTTAATTCCCTTTTTATTAGAGTTTTATGAATTCCATATAAATAGGATTATTATTTTCATTGTACAACACACAATTATTGAAAGATTAATTGCAAGGCATTATTGCTTTTTTCTTGTTCTTCATCCATTAATTCTGAACTTATCAAAATTATTTATTGTAGCGTTCAAACAAACTGAGTGAAATTCTTGAGTTTTGTAATCACGGGGCCAACATATTGTCGACGATTGTGTTGGTTCATTGGTTCAGTATTTTTGAATCAAGCTTAAACATTGATTCTTAACTTTCTTGGAGTTGAATCAATCTTGTGTGGGTTTCGTAACTACTACTTCTACGTGGGTTCGCATCAGTATGTCTAGAAGTATTTAGTTATAGATTAAGGGTGTGTTTGAGCATCATTTTTCGAAAAAAAAAAAGTGTTTTGTAATAGCAATCTTTTAGAGATTTTGAGGTTAAAAAGTGAGAAAAGTTTTGATTTTAGAAGTAAAATTATTTTATTGAAAGAATGCGGGGTTAAAAATGAGTTTGGAGAAAAATGAGTTCTTATATAACGAGGCTCAAATAAGGGTTAAATTATAAATAAATAGTACTTGAGGTTCACTATAAATGTCTGAATAAAAAGTGACTTGAGTATTTATAAACAATTTAGAAACATGAGCCAAACATAGACTTAATTTCCTAAAGCCTTTTAATATCATAATAACCAGTTTAAACCTCTTTTGACACTAAGAAGAATAGTTGTCATATTTGAACTAGATGGACCACCCAAACAGGTTAGTAAATAATTGATCATGTGCTACTTCTTTCCTTGTCACCCACATATTAACATATGGTAGATGGGTATGAGACGGGAAGGCTAGACGGCGGTTGAGGGAGAGGGATCAATAGATAGCAAGGTGGGCAAGCTGGTCGAGGATTGAAAGAGGAGATTATTTTAGTCTTTCTAGTATTTTTTTCTCTCTTTTTTACAAGTCTCCTCCTTAAATGTTTAAGCAAAAATTCATTACCGTGACTAAAATTTACGCGAAATTATATTTTGGTCACTAAACTTCATTTTATGAAACATGCTTAAACAACTGGACATTTATGATAACGAACTAACAACTTTTCAAGTCTATATCAGCATTTTTGTAGTGATGAAACTAAAATATGAATGAAAATTATGCAAACAGATTGGGACACAAAAGTTTAAATTAGCAATGAAAAACTTAGCTATAAGTTGGAAAAACTTAACTAAAAGTCCATACGTCTATTACACTACCGTAAGGTCAGAAACTGCGGAAAAATAATGCAAAATGGTAAATAAATTGGAAAAATACTATGTTTATAAAAATTTCCAAGAAATACTTAAGTTAAAATTCCGGTAACTAAGAGCCCCATATGACGTACTCACCACCGGAAGGTCAGAAACTACAGAAATATAATGCAAACTAGTAAAAAATAGGCAAAAATATGGATTATCAAAAATTTCTGAAGTATGAGAACCTCTTCCGAAACAGGATTTGAAAGAAATGCTGCTCATAGGTATCCCCTCCGCTTCAGCTATAAAATCAACCAACTCAAAGCCCACCTGTTAATTAAGAAAAAGCCAAACAAATCTGATTAACTCATCGAATATATATGGATATAAATAACATGGATGTGTATATATACAAACATATACGGACGTTGTGCCGGGTCCCGCTGTAACGCTTCCCCGGGTTGCCAAGGCCAACAAGGAGCCAGGGTTTAAGGTTTTCTGGGTCGGGCGAGGTGGCTCCGCTTGCAGTGGAAATTGAAGCCATTGGCCTGCGGCTGAGGGTTCTAACTGAACAAATGTTATTTGAGCAATGAATTGGGGCAACGGAAATTAGGTTTTTTGAGGAGAGAAGGAAACACCTAGGGAATCGAACAATGGTCGACGCCGCCGCCGACGCCGCCAAAGAGGACAAGATAGAGAATGCACAACTCGTTTTATACATTGTGCATTAGATGGTTGTACCCTAATATAAATTTGGATGAAATGAAGACAAGTGTTGAAGCATAATTCATAAGCGTAAATTAATGACGCCATATAGGGCACGAAAAAGAGAGCGATTAAGCCATTGTAGATCATGTTTCAACGTTATGTTGACATTTGATGATGTATTACCGTGATCATTGATTATTTTAAATATTATTAAAATTAATGGTAAAATTATGTAACATATTATAGAATGTCTATCAGATGTCAACTAAAATGTAACTTTAGCAAAATTAAAAAGAAAGGGCTCACCTGGATCAATTGGCTTTTAAGCCACTGTTTAAGCCTCATTCCTTAAAATTTTATTTTTTTTCAAATTTATTTTCACCCACAATTCTTCCATTAAAATAATTTTAGACATAAACATAAAAATTTTCCAACTTTTTAATTACACATTTTCTTTAAAAAGTCATTATTACAAAATTCATTCTCCCAAAAAAATTGGACTCAAACAAACCCTTAGTTAATTTTCTCTTTTAAATTTAAATTTAAATAATAATACTTTAGAGTCGGTGTTGAATATTGATGCATAATTTATTTTTGACAATTCAGTTTTTACGTGCAAAAAGTTGAACATAATTTCGACTTAACGAAATCAAGAAATACAAAAAGTGATATTTTGGTCAATACAAGAATTTAAACTCTTTCTTCTTTAAACGATAATGATTCGCACAAGTGCTAACAGATTCAGGCACTCATCTTTCAAGATATAAATATCATATCGACAATAGAAGCACTTCAAATTACGAAGACCAACTAACCTATTAATGTTTTTGAATTTTTTTGATGAAAAATTAACTCAAAATATGCAGCATATATATTTTTAGGACCGAAATGCAAAATATAGAATAGTGCGTGGAAAAATAAATCACCTTATTTTCAAGGGAAATTGGCGCAAATGATCCCAAAACTTTTTCCAATCATTCATTTTTTATAAAAACCTAGGTATGTTAACGAGTCGAGTTGAGCAAGCTCGTGAGCCAAAACTTGAGGCTCGAACTCGGCTCGAGTAAAAAAGGTTCGGGTTTTTTTTGCCCGAGCCGAGACGAGCTTTTACTCGATCAAAAAATTTAGGCTCGATCCTAAATACAGACTCACAATTTTTTTTAATTAAAATACAGGCAGCATCTAGCTGTAAGGCTGTCCGTGGGTAGGTTCGGTTCGGTTCTGAAGAGTCCCGAACCGACCCAAAACTTTCGGGTATTTAATAAATGGACCAGTCGGGTCCAAATATAATTATGGAACCTTCGGGTTCGGTTCCGTTCGATTCGGTTCGGGTCGGTTCCGTACCATAATCAAATTTTTTAATATTTGCAGTAACACTACATAAATACAACTAATGACATTTCATTCGTAACTTTTACAAATTAACGTAGCTCAATTCAAAAACATATAAATAACTAGCCGTCCAATAAGATTAATTCAACGCATACAAATACCAAAAATTAGATATTAATATTACAGCAAAACTACATAAAGTATATTCATTTGCTTCAAATTAAAATGAGCTAATGAGTTTCAAAAATGATTTAGGCTTTAAAATTAAAATTATGAAATAATCTGATTTATTTAATTAATTTGCTAATTTGTATAGAAAAAAATAAAATAATTTAATTAATTCAATAAAAAAAATAAAAAAATTATTTAGTTTCGGTTCTTATTCGATTCTTCGGTTCTTGGTCTAAATCCGAGACCTGACCCAAACCTATCGGTTCTCGATTTGGGTACCCGTTCGGGTATTTAATTTATGAAGAACCGCTTGATTCAGTTCGATTCGGGTCGGGTTAGGTTCGATCCGGTTCGATTCGAAACTTTTGGACACCCCTATCTAGCTGCCTGGGTTTATTTTATTTTATTTTTTTTAAAGATATTGCAAAGCAAGCAGCAGCTAGTTAGCTGCCTGCCTAGGAGGTAGTGTGCACTGCATGATTTAATTTTTAATTTTTTTTCCTTTCTTGATCGTCACGAGCCTAAAATAGCCCGTGACACAAGCCAATCGGTTTGCACGAGCTGGATCAACTCGGCTCAGGCTTTTTTCGGGTCGAGTAGTCCGAGCTAGCGAGTGAAATTAACACCCCTATACAAACCTTTAAACATTGGCACAAATTGTCATACTACTTTCTATAGACAATTGTATATAGAGAGAATTTCATAACATGACACACACACACACACACACACTCACTCTCTTGAGTACGTGTGTGTCTTTTTTTTCTTGCATATGAATTAAAAAGCAAGCTTGAAAGGAAATAGACCATCATATGGCCAATATCATATCGACCTAATCGCCTAGACTATCCTCGTGGATTACCAGGTACATGTCATTACTTCCCATGTGCGTGACCCAAGAAGTATTCCACTCACGAGGCATATGCTCATAATATCATACAGTCACAATCGAGTGGATCATCATCTCTTGATCACCATAGGTGTACATAAGGTCTTGCCTTTGATCCCCAAGAAGCTCCCACTTGCAATCCCAACTAATATCCAATAAGTATACCTCACATGCTCGGTAATATCCAATAAGTATACCTTATATTCTCGGTGCACTAGTAATTGTCAATAAAAAATCTTATATTTTAAATTCATTTCTCCAATCATATAAGTGCAAATGCTTATGAATGGTATACAGAAGCAAATGGACTCCAATGTGTTTTTGGAACATACGCTCAATCATAGTGATCAATGTAAGATACCTAAAAACATCATTAGCAAAGTTATATAAAGTCACGACAATGATAAAAAGAATATACTTTAACACATACTATGTCATTGCGTTGTAGTTGTATGTGAATTTTTATTTACATTTCAGTAGAGGCGGCTCTGACGGTGCGCAAGTTAAGCAACCGCACATGACTCGGCATTGTAGGGGCACCAAATTTGTTTTTTTTTTTTTTTTATTATAGGTATATTTATATGTATAGTTAATTTTTAAAATGTTTTACTAATTTTAAAATTTTAAATTTTTATTATCATGCTAAGTTAAAGGGTACAATATTTATTAAAAACAGTAAAAAAATTAATTATATTACATTAATATTTTTTTAGTTTAGCATATTATTGAAAAAAATTTGGTTTTTCAAATTTTAAACTATCTCACTTTCAAAAAAATTAAATAAATTAACTAAAATTAAACTATCGATTTTACCACCCAATCCCAAATGCCCAATTTATTTCATTAACTAATTACCAATCCAACAAGACAATAACCAACCCAAAATCCAGTGATTAAAGTGAAGAGTGAAAAGCTAACCTCAGATCCATTTTCGCTATTTCCCTCTCTCACACCCTTTAACCTACGAAGAACAGTTAAACAAATTAGAAGAAAATCTATACGTCTTTGTTGCTAGCTCTACATTAGTACAATCTGCATAGTAAATCACCATTTCAATAATTGGGCACATCTTAGTGTCAGGCTTAATGAACGTGGATTAGTGATTTTACTTTTAGAAATGCTTACTTGATTTGTTGCATTACAAGGTTTACACATGGTATTTAATGTTTTTGATTTCAAAAATTGCCCATATGGAATTGCATGAAGAGTTTAGTGGTTTTGATGGTTCTTTGTTGATGGCATATAAATTTTGATGAAGCTCAGGAGAATTCTTTTGATTTAGATCGAATTAGTTCCTTGAAGCACTTGCATGAAAGCATTGGGAGGTAAAATCCAAGAGTGATGAGATTATTAGAGGAAAAAAGCCAAATTGAGCGATACATGAGTGCAAACATGCGAGTAAACTCTACGTTATAGGATATCGGAAAAGAAAAGAAAAGATCTACATCTAGGGAGGAAATATAATCAATTCTTCATGGCAATTCGGCAAAATTATGAGAGGATGGATGTGATGTGTGGGGAATTTAAGGATAGATTGGATAGCTGGGAAACATTGATTGCAAACTTACAAAGGGCGCCTTAGAAGAGTTCCCGATGTTAAGCGGCAAAATAGGCATTATCCTAGTGCTGAAATTGACCAAATGTCAGTAGTTGAAGTTGATAGGATGGGAAATAGAAGATAAGCCTGAAAGGGGGAGTAGAAGAAATCTTAGAGACTTTGATGGAGTAGAGTACCTATTGGTAGATGAAGCACTTATTACGAAGCATAGTGTTTGATGATTTGATGGAAAGTTTCAAATTTCTCAATATGATTAACTCTCAAACAATTAATCATATGGAGAAACGAGAGAGAATAAAAATAAAGTAAGAGAGAAAATAGAGAGGTGGCTGAAAAATAGAATAGAGCCGCAAGAAAAAAAGAAAATAGAGAGGTGGCTGAAGATAAAGAAAAAATGAGTTGAACCACAAGAGAGAAGAAAAAGAGTCTTCAGAACAGAAAAGAAAAGTCAAAAGTGAGCTTCTATGAAAATGAGAGTATACGTCTTTAGTGAGAACTAGCAAACCCCTCCCTTATTTGGTTATTTCTTTGTTACAGGTTTCAAAGTCTTGGTTCAAGAGGACATGCCTATTGGGTTACCACCCATTCATGGTATTAAACAGTAAATAGAGGATACTAACCATTCCCTCCCTAGTTTGGATATTTCTTTGTTGCAAGAGGTTGATTACTTGTTCCCTGAGGTAGCAAATGAGCTTCAAAACCAATTGGCGAGTTTGAAGAGCAAAGGAAACATGGGGGTAAATATGAGTTCACTAACAGGAACGTATCATCATTTGAAATGTGTTGTCAATCTTTAGTTCGTTAACTATTTTGGGGTGAATTTATGGGCTAAGTTAGGAACCAAACTAATCTCTTCCACTTCATATTCATACTTTGATATTATGCCTTGTTTTAATCTACTAACTTTATCTGATTTAATATCTTATATGTTGTTGAAAGCCATGTATTTAAGAACACCTTAAGCTCTTGCTCAATTGACGCTAAGTTTTGGAATTCTCTAATATATATGTCTCTGATTTCTTCAATATATATAAAGTCTCTGCGGTATAGTGAATATCGAAGC